TTATGAAAACTTAGATCCTTAATTTGTCCAAGGGGAGATAAATTTTATTGACATCGTTGAAGTTGGATCACCCAGATCTACCCAGATCATGAAAATCGTACAAATATTTAAGAACTTCTCATGTTGGCTTTTACTTCCGTGATGAGATGTCAATGACGTAATAATATTATTCGAATTTCGAAAATCGAAAATTGCAGATTTAAAGTAAATGTTTTTAAGTACTCAAAGAAAAAAGAATTAGTAAAATAGATCAAAAAGTTACAGCTGTGTAGTTCAATTTTTTCATCAGTAAATTTCGATGATTTCGGATTCGTAAAACATTATGAAAATATATTGATTCCAACGCCACCACCCATTCTTGGAAGGAGGCTAACCAGAAATGTAGTAATTTCGGAAATAGGAGACGAATTCACGAAACGACGGTCTATTCCAAGTATTTCCAGGTCGTTAATGCGGATCTTTCACCCGCAAACAACTTTGTCGGCACGAAAAAACATGAGCTAGGCTATCTAAAAATGTATTAATTGCAGAAACAGGAGACGAATTCAACAAACTACGGCCTATTGTGTTTATTTACAAGCCCGTAAATCCAGATTTTTCGCCATTTTTCACATTCAATGCAAAATGGTGACCATCAGTTGACCTAAATCAAAATTCTGCTCTAAAAGTTTTTTAGGCATACCTACCAGGATTCATAAAATATAACGCCCATGTCTGTAAGTAAAATATCGCAAAAGCCTTAGGGAATTTTCACGTATCAAGGCAATCTGACCTACCTTTTTTCGATTTTTTGAGATAACTTAGGAAATTGCTAATGATATCGTTAAAGTTGGATCAATGAGATCTACTTACGTTCTAAATTTCATGAAAATCTTACTAATATTAAAGAAGTCGTCAGTTTCGTTTCACTTATGTTAACGACGTAGTAAATGTACTCAAAGATAAAATAATTAGTCAAAATAGGTCAAAAATTTATTCGGATTCGAAAAACGTTTTGAAAATATATTTAATCAACAGCCACCCCCATTTTTTTTTGGGGGGGGGGGCGGGTGCTATAAGTCAAAGTTTCAGAAAGATCCTCTGAGAAATCCGTTTTGTGGACAAAACACACACGCACACAAATACGCCCCCCCCCCCCCCCCACACACCCATACACACACACACACCCACACACACGCACACACACACGCACACCCCACACACAAATAATAACAAGACCTGTCCTCGAACAGGTTTGATAGTTTTTATGCAACCCAATCATACATTTATACATTGATTTCGACATTGAGTAGATTAACATGTTTTGTTATCGGGAATATGCACCAAATGAATCAATTTATCATTTGCCATTGAGATTTGACCTGATTTCAAAGTTCCACACTATTTTAAAAATAACTTCAATTTTATGACGTCACTTTAAAAAATCTAGGTCAAATATAAAAATTCTAAACGTGTCGATCGATTGCGAATTGTGGATGCTTTCCCAAAATATGACGATATTGAAAATTGGATAACCATTGTAGCACGAGTAGAATTTTAAAGATTGACTTACATTTTCAAAAAAGTGGCACTTCCGGTGAATTTTAACTTCACGAGATTACTCTAAAAGGTTGATAGGCAAATATTTTTAAATAAGGCAAAATTGACTTCATCTTCAAAGGGGGGATACTCGGAAAATTTTTGTTGACATTTTTGGCTTAATTCGTCCATTTGTAATGTATTCTGAAAGTTGAAATCTTCTAAAATACGCTCAGAATGTTCACTCTTTTCATTTTTGAGCTCAAAATTGGGCCACATGCATGCGTCGTAGAGGCCACATTGCCCGACATAAAAATGCTAAATACGAACAGCTACAAATTGGTGAAAACCGCATTCAAATTGGTTGAAAAACAAAAATGTTTCCTTTGATGTCTAATATTGGCCTTTTTTCGTCGACTACGTCACTTCCTGTTATAATTTTTAAAGTTTTAGTTATTCATTCACGATTCCAACTAAATACCTTTCGGACAGTATACTTTTTCCAAAAACACGATGGGAAAAAAATAGTTATAATAATAATAATCCGAACAAAAACAATAACTTTTATACCACGTAGTAGTATAAAAACTAATAACTAGATCTGTCATGCAGATATGAAAGCTTTCATATTCATGGTCACTTCATGTCAAACGACATGGGTTATATAAAGAATCTCAATAAGGAAAAATAATTATTGAAATCGTCATAAAACTCGCTGAGTTCACAACGAGAACATTTCAACGGGCAAAAGTTCCACACTATTTTAAAAATAACTTCAATTTTATGACGTCACTTTAAAAAATCTAGGTCAAATATAAAAATTCTAAACGTGTCGATCGATTGCGAATTGTGGATGCTTTCCCAAAATATGACGATATTGAAAATTGGATAACCATTGTAGCACGAGTAGAATTTTAAAGATTGACTTACATTTTCAAAAAAGTGGCACTTCCGGTGAATTTTAACTTCACGAGATTACTCTAAAAGGTTGATAGGCAAATATTTTTAAATAAGGCAAAATTGACTTCATCTTCAAAGGGGGGATACTCGGAAAATTTTTGTTGACATTTTTGGCTTAATTCGTCCATTTGTAATGTATTCTGAAAGTTGAAATCTTCTAAAATACGCTCAGAATGTTCACTCTTTTCATTTTTGAGCTCAAAATTGGGCCACATGCATGCGTCGTAGAGGCCACACTGCCCGACATAAAAATGCTAAATACGAACAGCTACAAATTGGTGAAAACCGCATTCAAATTGGTTGAAAAACAAAAATGTTTCCTTTGATGTCTAATATTGGCCTTTTTTCGTCGACTACGTCACTTCCTGTTATAATTTTTAAAGTTTTAGTTATTCATTCACGATTCCAACTAAATACCTTTCGGACAGTATACTTTTTCCAAAAACACGATGGGAAAAAAATAGTAATAATAATAATAATCCGAACAAAAACAATAACTTTTATACCACGTAGTAGTATAAAAACTAATAACTAGATCTGTCATGCAGATATGAAAGCTTTCATATTCATGGTCACTTCATGTCAAACGACATGGGTTATATAAAGAATCTCAATAAGGAAAAATAATTATTGAAATCGTCATAAAACTCGCTGAGTTCACAACGAGAACATTTCAACGGGCAAAATTTGCTGTTATTTGTTACGAATTAAATCGGTCAAAAACTGCCCAGGTCATAACGGCCAGACATCACTTCCCATCAGATGTTATTGATTTTGTCAATAATCTTAAAGAGAATTGAATTATTAACTAGGTTATCGGGATAAACATTTCACCGCCCGTTAACGTGGATTTTTCACTTTTTTTCATATTCAATTCAAAATGGTGACCCCCAGTTGACCTAAGTCAATATTCTGCTCTGAATTTTATTAAATGGAATCGGAATAAATACTTATTAAAATTCCCTAAGTATGCTTAGTGTTCTCGACTAAAACCGCAGATTTTAGACTTAAAATATCGGTCAACTAGCTTAGCGTATGTTCTCAAGGGGAGCTTAGTATGTTACATACACACTGTGAAACATTTTAAATGTCTTAAAAGTTGCCTCCGACTTTAGTGGATGCTAAAATCGCGTGTGTTCATATATTTTTCTCTAGTAGTAATTGTGGCTATACTTACACAATTTGTAAATTCACCGAATTTTATTTCAAAATCCAAAAAATACATATGATCATATGATATATGATAAACCGGAAGTTATAAAATTTTGTTAACCATTATCGATTTACAAATCAAGTATGAATTAATAAAATTTTCGTCACTATTATTCAGAAAGTAATATTTCATATTTTCAACAATGTTTGTTCAGAACAAAAAAGATGATTATATTGATTATATAAAGCACCTAGAATACCGGTATACCATTATTCCGACACTTGACCTTTGGGAAGATCTCAACACCCCTTTCTCCCATTCTCTCTCACATGAAAAGATAATAAATTCTAGCAGAAAGACAAGATTTATGTAAAGGAACCCTAAAGATTATATATGTGCCGACAAGAACATGTCAACTATATACATCAGAGAAAACATGAAAATATCACGCTTTCGCCATCATATTATTCCAGGCATTTGTTTCCTTCAAGTGAACGATGAAATCTGACAGCTTTATGCATGAATGATATGTAAAGCTAGCAAAATCTACACCATCTACACATCTAGAATAAAAGTTTGTACATTTCATTTGACACGTCCGTTTCCTTTATTAAGCAATTTATCTTTTTTGACGTCACCAAATTTATCTCCCCTTTCTCCAGAAAAAAATGGCGGCCTTTTATTTTACTCGGAAAAAATGTTAAAAGCAATAAAATACATGTACACGTATAATAACAAATATGCATAGTTAACAAAATAAAGAAATCCGAAAGACAAATAAACTCAAAACTAAAGAATTTTTTAATTTTAAAATGTTATTTTCTTATCTTCGGTTATGTAATAAAGATTATAAATCAATTGCCACAAAGTGCCAACAAACTCGTGCGTACTTTAAGTAGACTTAGCTATATTACAAGAATGAAGATATTTTAGAAAAGCAATGAATTAACATAACAATATATTTTGATACGAAATTAATTGTTTACTGGTATCAGTATTCAGCGGAATCCAAAGTACAGAATACATAGGAATTACTGGGTGTCGTGTTCTATACAAAATTTGCTGCTTGGTCTTTCTAAAACACCCGTTTCCACTTCTTGTTGATATGCCAGCGAGAGCAACATCTATCTCAAAAGTGGACATTAATCGGTTTAAAAAAAAGTATTGATTTTAAAAAAAAATGTTAAATAAAAACATAACTACAAAAATAAAATCCTTCTTTTTTTGAAGGGGCTTGGCGAGGATGAGGGGCAAAATTTATATCATATTTTGCGGAAAATCATTAATGTGATATTTAGGATTATATTTTGATTTACGAACTATGCTATGTAATTTCTGGCATCACAAACATCAAACCATTGTGACATACCTCATGCCTGACTGCCATACAAATAACATGCCTAATACATTATGAAACCTTTTTTTGCTGAAAAAACAAAAACAAAAAATATTTGTTCTCTATCATTGAAAATCATTTTCAAAAAAAAAAATAAAAATAATAAAAAAATCAGATCTTGATAAAATGCAACAATAATCTTTTAAAAACAAAATTGTTTTGTGTGTGTTTTTGTGTGTGAAAAAAGTTGGGTGTTACGTAGTGCACAAATTACAAATCTCGTATGTTCTCGTTTGACACCTTTTATTGGTGTATTTGTGTAAATGGGACGAGGAGACAGATAGAGAACACGGGATAGCACTGTTTCCAACTAATCTCTTGTTGAATTAAGCTAAGCATCTTGCCTAAAACTTTTGTGTACTTTTCACAGTTAAAACAAGTGAACAAATACTCTCTGTCCTTTTAGTTTGTTGTAACATATTTTATATCTTGCTTATTGTCTATTTTTAAGTTTCCCTTTTCAAAACATTAATCTATTCATCACAAAACAAAGTGCGGTATAGTTAAAATATTGTTTCCCGCCTTTTATAACAAATGGAATTGTGTTTAAATCGTGCCAATCAATATATTTATAAACTCTTATGAAACAATAACTTTCCTAACCACATACAACATTTTAACATATTACCTACCGATAAAAAATGTATATGTACGACTTTGATATATTATCTTGTCTTATATTTTGTTGGGTTGTCTAGTGGTTTAACGCGTGCGCGTGAAATCACAAGATCTGTCATCGATTGGAGTAGTTTCGATTCCTCGCTTGAATGTGACAAGGAGTATAGTCGCTTGTTCAACCTCGTGGGTTTTCTCCGTGCCCCCAGGTTTCCTCCCAATGCTATAGACCCTTACGCGCAAGCGAATTATTGAAATAAAATCGAACCATATTTTAGTTCCGAAATGATCTCTCCGAGATTGTAAATACATGTGATATGCTATTTGCTACCGGTTGTAAACACTCGCCATGATAATATTACTGGTCAGATCAAAGCTTAAAAATCTCCAATAGATTGCACAAATCAAAGAACGAAATTGGAGACAAAAGATTAGTGTTACGCTGACACGATTTATTATTTCAGCAGGTACATACATATAGTAAGTTATTCAATCTAGGCTTTGTTGTTTGGTTTTATCATTTTGAAAAAACATGTATATTTTAATCAGATGCGTTTCCAACTAAATTCGGCACTGTAAATCGGGATAGGATATATGATAATACCAGAGACTATCATCAAAATTGTCAGGAAAATGAAGATAATAATGTTACTTACACTTTGTAGTAATTTTAAGATATAGCAGGTACACGGTATATAGCTGTATGGCAAAAACGCCATTAATTCTACTGGATTCCAAACAAATGGTATTTGGTATTCTGAGTTTGATGTATTGCAAGGTGGGAAAATTTATCACTCTGTCATTTTCTCTAACCAACTCTATTTATTTTTCAGGGTTAGAGAGTTCCATATCCGAGGCGGGCAAAGATCTTTATTGGTTTTAAAGAGACTTGGTGCGGACTTCCTAGCATGTAACTTCATCACGGCATAAAGACAGTTTCACAACATACAGTGTTTACTAAACTAAGCCCTGTAAAATTGGCAAAGGGTTTCTAGTCGCCGTGATGAAGCCACACCACACGTAAGAAAGATGGTTCCTTTGCCAAGAGCGGCACCAAACAGGCTGTGACCCTGTTAGTTTGAGGATTATTTTAGTCAAGGTAGAAATGTGAAATATGTCATCGTTAAAGCGGACATCCCCCGCCTATCAAAATATTCACCTTTTCTTGTTGCAATATGACGTGATCCATCGTCACGTCCTATCAAAGATCTCATCAACAAAGGTGTCAGAAGTGTTCGATTCGATTGGTTACGTATGCAGAATGTCAGACACGATGACATAAGACAACACTGAATATAAAATATTGAAGATTTCTTCTAATTGTGTTGTGTTATTGGTCGTAACTAGAACTTTGAAGAATGTGATTTTAAAAATACCAAAGTTTCTCGAGAAATTCCAAGGCAGCATGTGGGAAATCCTTGTTCATATCTAACAATAACTTTTACACAGTTTTCATAAATATATTGTTTTGATAGCCATTTATATATCTTCATTTTATTACTTGTGTTCAAATATTGCTTAATATTTAAAACTTATTTTCATCCTTATATGAAAAGAAGCCGAAGCACTGAAGTGCTGTCATTAATACCATTGTGTTGCGGTTAATGCTTTCTAGTTTATCTAATTTCGGGGTGTTCCCACTTTGCCGGCAGGCTTTGATGTCAAATTTTGCGCTAATCCAGAGTTAATCCTAGTACAATGGTGTTATAAACTATAGTCCATATCCTTTTTAAGAATAAAACTGTATTGATTTTAACAAATTTAACTTTTATTAAATAACATTAAATAATTTACACATATAAAAATGCATTACAATTTACACATATAAAAATGCATTACAATTTACACATATAAAAATGCATTACAATTTACACATATAAAAATGCATTACAATTTACACATATAAAAATGCATTACAATTTACACATTTGGTCTGCTTGACTTTATTCGGTACTTGTAACCATTATGTTTTAAATTTCGGCCACCTCGATTATTGGAGATAAAGCGATTATTAACCTGAACGTTTGCCATTTTAAAATAAATATAATTTCGACACGTTCGTTCGTTCGTTTCTGGAGTTTTACGTCCACTTCCACACAGATCGACCATCTATTTATATTAATATAGTGAATTGAATTCATGCTTGAAGGCATAACGCCGGCATGAACTGTGTTCAAAATGTCATTAATTAGTTGGTTAATAAATTTTATTAACAGGGATTAAGAGCTCATTAACGCTGAACACTAGTGAACAGTTCTTGAGCGACTACTTTTAAACATAGTATAGTTTTAAGATCAATTAAAGGATTAACAGTCTGGCGGCATAGTGGGAACACACCCTAATTTCTTGTCATTAATGTTTAAAGAATAACAATATAAAGCTGTTTTTTAATTGTTTCAATGGCATTTAGTAATTGAACTGAAAATGCACAGGTCACAATTCTATGGAATAAAACAATTATTGTTTATTAGTGAGCGACGTTTTGACTATGCGTCTGTAGTCGCTATCAAGCAAATGATAAAATAAAAAATGTGATGTACATATCTACATGTGTATCTATTTTTTGTATTTGACCGAAGGGTTTAATTACCACATCTCCATACTGATGTCTGATAAATTGTTTCACTGGCATTTAGTAATTGAACTGGAATATACTCACTTTTGACTATGATTCTCTAATGTTTATCAAGAAAGCAATGGCAAAGACCAGAGAAACGTCACTCAGTAATACACAGTAACTGTATTCCAGAGAATTGTATCCCGTGTATGTGGTTTTATTCATTTATTTTTTTAAAATTACACATTAGCAATTCCCCGATTAATTTAATGAATTTCCCAAAAACATAATCATAGGGAGCTGTCTTTTTAAATGTATAAAACGACTTTTAATATTGCTTCCAGATTTATTTGTGTTCTTTTATGCTTTATATCACCGGAAAAATTGTTTAATTAAGTTATGTCATTTTCTTCCTACTTTTCTATAGTTTTTATTAAAATATAAATATTTTATTCACTGCCTTTGTTTATATCATGACATGCATAACCTGTGATAGAGTATAACTTCTGTTTATATAAACAGTTATATTAAATATAAATAATATAAACAGATTATATTCCTTGTATATATTATAAATAAAAATAATTGAAATATAATTATTATTGTCTTTTCCAAAATGAAAGTTTTCTTTTGAACAGTTGGTTTTCTAGGTAACCTATATGCTTCACCATTTCAGGACAATTAGCTTATAAAACTATTTTTTCATTTTTTTATTCACAATCACTGCTCCCACTTTTACTAGTAAAATAGTCAGCCGTTAAAATGTTTTGTTTGGGAGGTTTTGAAAACAATGGTACAGAGCATGCAAATTTAAATATTGTACATTAAAATATTATAAAAATACCGAGCTAAAACAAAGAATGCCAAGATACTCTAGTTAACAACTAACATTTAAAATACATAGTTCCACTCTGATAATGGCTAAATTGAATAATTACGGCGTTTCGTCTTTTGGCTTACATTACACAGAATACGGGACCTATTAAGAGGGTTATCAAAAGTTAATTGAATGTAATCATTAGGGGGATCTTACTAGGAGAACACGTGTTCTACAAGCTATTTTAATTTATCACTAACAAGTTTATTGACTATTTTCTGCTTGGGTTGCATTCAAGTTTTATTTTGGGAAGATGAGGAATAAATTTATTCCGTACTGACTTCTGGCATTCTAGTAGTATTTTATGTATATTTAATGTAAAACGTGTCCAGGGTATCAAGTCGTCCTGGCAGATTTAGTAGGCAGATAATTTATTCCTTACATGTGTGAAGCTTTTATTCCTGAGCAATTAAGTTCATTTTAATTTTGATATGCTATTGGTAGGTTTTTATCCAGTTCGCTTCGATTAATCCATTCTTTCCTATTATTAAAATTTTAAATGTTGGGAACTATTAATGAAATGAAATAAAATGAGGTTTAACATCCTATTTTTCTACACCGACTGGGTTAGGAAGACGGGAAAACTATTTTCTTTAAAACACATTTAAAAATATTAAATAGAGGAACTTGTATTAAAATCTAACAAATTTTGTCGGTGACCATATAAATTGATTTTATATAAATGTAGGCATATTTAATTCACTTGGTTGTCTTTTGAATATAAAGCGACTGAAAAAAATATGATACAGGGGCGGGCAGTAACAACATAACGATGACACCAGTAATTTGACTTTTTAATAAGCATTGTATTGATTAAATCTGTTATTAATGTTATTTGTTATCATTTACTTACTATGGTATGTTATCTAGCGAGCACAGGATATCTTAGATACTCTTCTGTAGACAGAAATATAAGACAACATCCACTGGAGACTGTCGTTACAGACACCGGAAGAGACCAATAGCCTTTGTTATAACAAAATAAAATTCCAGTCGAAGCATTACTCAAATATACATCCTACTATTAAACCCCTCAATACCATATCTAACTAAACAAAACAAGGCTTAACTAACCCTCTTGCATGATTCCATCTGAAACAACTGAAACAAAAGCATTTCCAAGAGACACAGGAACTGTCTGGAACAGTTCCGTCTTCCAAACTCTTCAAATTGTTGCATTTTCCAGTAGATGTTTTTGTAAATAGTAATCTGCATAAGATTGTTTTCTGTGAATATTTGTCGTCTTCCATTTTGAAAAATCAGTGTCAAACAACTACCACAATTTTTTTGCAGAAAATGTACATCTCTTAAATGTTTTGTGGGTTAATAACACTTTCAAATCTTTGGACAAAACCAGTTTAATGTTGTACAGATTTATTACCCTGCAGTTCTCACGAAAGGGTAAATGGTGTTTTGCATGGAAATAAATTTTAAAATGACACCACAATTAGACTATGCAACCGGCCTTTCTCTGGTTCACCTGGACAGAATCTAAATATCTACAAATAGCTAAAAGTATCGAGAACCGACTGATTATGACGATCAAGTGTTCATATCAACGAAACACCAACATAGCTCATCTGGCCTATTTTGCGAATCATGTCAATTCTATATGAAATAAGTTTTTCAATTTTTACGGCAACACAAGACAGCTTCCAACTATTTTCACGTTTCCAAATTCCTTAAATAATCTGGAGAAAATCATTTACGCTAGAAGCACCAGAACATTGGAATAATCTTGCTGTTCATCGGGGAGATAAGGAAACATCTTATCTACATAACATATTTTACTTATCTATTAGATTTAACATTACAACTAATATACATAACATATTTTATTATAACTTATCTGTTAGATTCAAAGTTACAACTAATATACATAACATATTTTATTATAACTAATCTATTAGATTTAAAGTTACAACTAATATACTAATAAACATAACATATTTTATTATAACTTATCTATTAAATTTAAAGTTACAACTAATGTAAATAATATATTTTACTATAAGTTTTCTATTAGGTTTAACATTACAACTATTATACATAGCATATTTTACTATAATGTATCTATTAGATTTAACATTACAACTAATATACATAACCTATATCTATAACTTGTCTATTAGATTTAACATTACAACTAATATACATAAGATATATCTATAACTTATCTATTAGATTCAACGTTACAACTAATAAAAATAACGTACTTTACTATAACTTATCTATTAAATTTAACGTTACAACTAATATGAATAACAAATTTTAATATAACGTATCTATTAGATTTAACGTTACAACTAATTTTACAACATATTTTACTTATCTATTAGATTTAACATTACAATTAATATACATAACATATTTTATTATAACTTATCTATTAGATTCAAAGTTACAACTAATATACATAACATATTTTATTAACTTTTCTATTAGCTCTAAAGTTACAATTAATATACATAACATATTTTATTATAACTTATCTATTAGGTTTAACATTACAACTATTATACATAACATATTTTACTATATCTTATCTATTAGATTTAACATTACAACTATTATACATAACATATTTTA